TCAGCCTCAGCCTGCCTCTGCCTCAGCCTCAGCCTGCTTCAGCCTCATCCTCAGTCTGCCTTCAGCCTCGGCCTCAGCCTCAGCCTGCCTCAGCCTCAGCCTGCCTCAGCCTCAGCCTCAGCCTGCCTCAGCATTCAAAATGTGGCCCGGAATGGAGTTCTGGGAACTCGAAGAACACGAAGTGGCCTACAGTTGGCTCCGGGCATTCAAAATCATGCCCAGGAATGGAGTTCTGGGAACTCGAAGACCACGAAGTGGCCTACAGTTGACTCAGGGCATTCAAAATCATGCCCAGGAATGGAGTTCTGGGAACTCGAAGACCACGAAGTGGCCTACAGTTGGCTCCGGGCATTCAAAACCATGCCCAGGAATGGAGTTCTGGGACTCGAAGAACACGAAGTGGCCTACAGTTGGCTCCGGGCAGCCTGCCTGCCTCAGTGTCTGGTTTCCCGGGGCACCCTGTCCGGATCCCGCCCAGACCCCCCTGGGGCGTCAAGATGTGCTCTCTTTTGACCCCACTAGAAACCTAACAGTCTTCGCTGTTAGGTAACAATGGTCACCGGAGAGGGGATCAACAATCATAATTATCTTTCAGCAGTGTGAGTCAACAGCAACAACAACAAACCAAAACAAAACAAACAAAACACAACAGCAACAACAACCATCATTTTAAGACTGTTCGCGCATATCTGCTCGAGTGTCCGTTAAAGCGTATTTCCCAAACCCTCGATACCCGCCCTCTTCGTCTTCGATCGTGCCCCTTTTGTGGGGTATACCTTTCTTCCCTGCAGGCCGGGCCCCGGCAAGCGGCGGGGCGGCCACGGACCGTCAGCCTGGCTAGCGGCAGCGCTGATCGGCGGCAGCCCGACCCCAAGAGGGACGGACAGGGGACCGACCACGACGACGACGACGTCGACGACGACGACGACGAGCGAAAGCGAGAGCGAGAGAGAGAGAGAGAGAGACAGTAGGCCCAAGAAGGGCACGAAGTAGGCCACGAAGTAGGCCACGAAGGGCGACAGCGGGGACACAAAGGGAATGCGCATGGGGCCACGAAGGGCGCGAACGGGGGCCACGAAGGGCAGATAATGCGGGGCCACAGAAGGCAACGACGGGGCCACTGAGGGTAGCAATTGGGTTACGTAGGGCAGCGAGGGGGCCACAAAGGGCGACAGCGGGGCCACGAAGGGCATACGTATATTGGGCGGCGGAGGGCAAGGACGGGGCCACTGAGGGCAGCAACGGGGCCACGACGGGCAGCGAGGGGGCCACAAAGGATTGCAACGGGGCCACGAAGGGCAGCGAGGGGGCCACGAAGGGCAGCGAGGAGGCCACGAAGGGCTGCAACGGGGCCACGAAGGGCAGCCAGATCCTGATTCCTAAGTAATCTGTGAGGGAGGCCTATGCGTGAGCGCGATTCCTGGGTGTCGGGAGCGCGGCGCTTGAGTTGATTGCGGGAAATTCCAACGCAAGGGCGCTATTGTTGAGTAACTTGCAAGCGAGAGCCCGACTGCAGAGCGCCGAGAGAGCGATTCCGTAATTAAGTGTAAGGAAGTCCCAAGCGAGAGCGCTACTCCTGAATAGAATGCGAGGAAGTGTCGGGCGGGAGCGCGATTCTTCAAGACATTGTGAGGAAGTGTCGGGCGGGAGCCACTGTTGCTGGAAACCGGGGGCCAACGACACAGTTTGAGCCTCAGGTCTTTCCCTGATAGAAAACAAGGTGCGAGCCCCGGGAGGGGCACTGCAATTGAAAAGATCTCATGTGCACTGGGTGGGGGGGATCAACAATACTTGTTTTTCAGAGGTGAGAGCTCAACGGCGCCACTGCCCCACATGTCCAGATCTGAAAGAGCGTGTTCTACCGCTGCTGGCGGAAAACCGGGGGGGGGTCACTACCGGTTCGAACCCCTCCCCCCCCCCCCCTCCGGAAAACCGGGGGGGGGTCATTACCGGTTCGAACCCCTCCCCCCCCTCCCCCAGTTCATCATGAAAAGGGGGGGGGTCACTACCGGTTCGAACCCCCCCCCCTCGAAAACCGAGTGGGGGTGCGGACAGTGGTGGGGACGGTGTTGGTGGGGACAGTGGTGAGGGGACAGCGGGACAGTGGTGGGGACAGTGGGACAGTGGGACAGTGGTGGGGACGGTAGTGGTGGGGACAGTGGTGGGGACAATGGTGGGAACAGGGGGGACAGTGGACAGTGGTGGGGACGGTGGTGGTGGGGACAGTGGTGTGGGGACAGTGGGAATGAGGTGGAAACAGTGGGACAGTGGAGGGTACAATGGTGGTGGGGACAGTGGTGAAGGCGGTGGCGAGGACGGCGGTTGGACAATGAGACAGAGGTACAGTGGGGACTGCGGTGGGGACAGTGGGGACAGTGGTGGGAACAGTGGGACAGCTCAATGGGACAGCGGAGGAGTCAGTGGGACAGTGGGGACAGTGGGGGTAGTCGGGCAGTTGTTGTGGCCGTGGAGACAGTGGGGAGAGTGGAACCGTGGTGGGAACAGTGGCGGGGACAGTGGGGACAGTGCGACAGTGGTGGGGGCACTGGTGGGGACAGTAGGGACGTTGGTGGAACCAGTGGGGACAGTGGTGGTGAGGACAATGGTGCTGGGAACAGCAGTGGGGGATGTGATGCGGACGGTGGTAGGGACCGGGAGTCGTTTGCTGGCGGTGCGTGGGGGGGGGGTCGAACCGGTAGTGACGCCCCTCCGGTTTTCGAGGGGGGGGGGGGGTTCGAACCGGACTCCCCCTGGTTTTCCGGATCCGGAGGGGGGGGGGGGGGGGGGGAGGGGTTTCGAACCGGTAGTGACCCCCTCTCGGTTTTCGAAGGGGAGGGGGGGGGGGAGGGGTTCGAACCGTGGGAGTGCCCCCCCCGGTTTTCGAAGGGGGGGGGGAGGGTTAGGGGAGGGGGGGGGTTTTGCCGGGGGGGGGGGGGGGGGGGGAGGAGTCCAGCAGGGAGGGGGGGGGGGGGATTTTCGGAGGGGGGGGGGGGCGACCCCCGGGTTCCGGAGGAAAAGGTTAGCAATTTTCCACAGTAAAGCGGCGGTGGATCACGCTCTCTCCCAGATCTAGACTCGCGGGGGGCCTCCGCGGATCCAGGGGGAGACCGCGCTGGAGGTTCTACGGGCTCAGATCTACGCACGCGGGGGCCTCCGCGGGTCCAGAGCCAATCTCGGGTGAGATCCCACAGTTAGACCAAGAACCAACCAACACCACCCCACCTGCGACCCGCTGGGTCGTGGATGGGTCGTGGGTTGGGTTGGTGTCGCAGGTGGTCGCAGGTGGGCAGGTGTCCGAGTTTTCATCGCCGCTGGGGTGCAGGTTGGGTGGTGTCGCCTGGCTTCTGGCGCACCAGTAGGCCCCGATCGACACTCGCGAGGGCCCCCGCGGGCCCGGGTCTGGAGCCGCGGGCCCGCACAGGTCCAGGGGCAGACCCGCGGGCCCGGAGCCCTGATCTGGATCGTCGTGCGCCAGCGGGGCCGCGCCGGCCGCGCCAGGCGCGCGCCAGGTGCACGTGCCACGCACGGCGTTCGCCAGATGCGAACGCGCACGTGGCAGCACGCATCGGTGCAATGCATCGATCCCCCGACCATCCGTGGCAAACCACTGCAGAGTTGGATTGTCTCCGAACAGACGCCCAGTCCCGACGCGAGGCCCAGAACAAGACGCAGGCTCCTCGAGGCTGCGAGGAGGGAGCTTTCGGGGCAGGGCTGTATCAGGGGGACAACGGCGGACGCAAACCATATCCTGAAATCTTTTTGGCCCATGTTCGAATCCTCGGTGAATCCGCGATTTGGGGGATTGGGAATGCACGTTTTAGTTGGGGCGGGGTGGTCAGCATGCTGTACGGTGCGCGCGCGCGCCCCTCAATGATGATGTTGCGTGCTGTCTCGGCAAGAGCAGTGAGGCAGCGCACAGCGGGCAGATATCCTCACATCGCCGGTCACCCCGGTCAAAAGCCAATGCAAGGTGATTGCGGCGGCCCCGCTATCGACGCAGATTGTGTTGCCACTTGCAAGTTTGTCAGGGACCGTGAGGGGGGTTCTCAACGCTCCTGGTTGGCGGCCAGTCGAGTGGGATAAGGGTGTTCACTCAAAAAGGGGCAGTGGTTACCCCTCCCCGAAGGGGCTGAAGGGGGCGTGGAAGAGGGAGCGCGTCAAACCACCTATGCCCAGAGGGCTGGCGGATTGTTGAGGATCCTGCGAGTTCCTGGAATGTGGGCTTCTTCGCGGCCTGCTCAGAGCCTCTTAAGGGAGGGGGCCACTCGGGGTCCTCTGAGAGGCTCTCTTGGGGAGGGTCCTGGGGGGCTTCCTGGGGGCCTTCGAGGCCCTCTTGGGGGGGGCCTCTTGGACATATTTGGAGACGGTCCTGGGGAATGCGGAGGTTCTGGCGGACGGAGCCCCACACCCTCGTCGCGCCGCCCCGGCCCGTGCCTGTGTCTGGGGCCGCCAGCCCCAGCACGCCCCCCTGCTGGCCAGTTGGGCTGCGCCCATGCGGCTGCCGGTCCCGGGGATCTGGGCGTTGCAGTTTGTTCACGCCGGCCGTTTTCGCCTGGTTTCGGGACCCGGGGCCCTCACATCGGAGGCGACGAGAGGGGCGAATAGTCCAGGGGGGAGCAATACATGTATCCAGGGCGCCGATGATCTACTTGTCTTCGACAAGGCTCCCGGGCGAATGCGTGTAATGCCCGCCCCTGGGCTATTCGCCCCGATCGTCGCCGCCGATCACAGATCGATCCGGCTGGAGAGATGGCGCAGAAAGATGTCGCATTTGCTTCGCAGCGTCGGATCTCAGGGATCTCCCCTCTGCCCCCTCGGCTCATCATTGCCAGTTCTGATCGCCATCCGGCCATGTCGCCCGGCCCAAGGTCTGTGCCGAGAGCGGCGGCCTTGCAGGGTCGTCGGAGGCCGCGAAGGCCGCGGAGTGGCATCTGCGAGTTGTCATTCTACATGGGGTCTCTGATGATCTCACACTGTTCTCTCGACTCCTCTGGTTGTCCCTTGCCTCCTCTCCTCATCATTGATGTCTTCGATGCTATCGCGTATCTCATCCGCGATCCCCCGTTGTCCCTCTGTGGTTCCCACTGTTCGCCCCGCTGCTCTGCTGCCTCAAGGCGACACCGCGGCTAGGATCTGAATGGCGCCAGTTGACCTGCAAGGGAGCATGACAGTTGGGTTCGAACGGGTGTGCCAGTTTCAGGAGGAGCTTGTCGCATCCCGAGTTCATGCTAGCGCGCTCTTTGGGAGATCGGGGCCGCTGCCACCAGCGCCCATGCTCACAGGCGGCGCTGCAGGCTCAGGAGAGCTACACGGAGGAGATGAAGCGGATCAAGGTTGACATCACATGGTAACATTGACGTGTTGCATCATGGTACCATGGTGGCATCTATCTCAGAGCTTGGCGTGCAGGACGCATGCACCACATACGTCGCAGCTTGCGCGTAGTCTGTGCCGAGCGCCTTCCAGAATCGTCAGGGCGAGCATATCATGATTGAAGGTATGACTTCTTGATGTTACGCGTAGACCCATCAGATCATCCATAAACGATGTCCATGCGAATTGTCGTGAGAAGTGTCGTGGGGAAGCGTTCTTGGGGCAAAGAGAAGGATCACGGGTTACTCCGCAGCTAGAGCGAAGCGTGTGACCTTCATAAGTTGACGAGGTTCTCGTGTCCCAACTTACTAGCTGCTGTTGTCACGACCGTTACCCAAACAAGCAGCACTGGGGCATTCGCAAGCTAGCAATGGTTTACCTGGTGCACGACGTGTCAGAACCACGCAGTACACACACACAGACACACACACACACACACGTTACGCAGAGTGTGTTCACACTGATCCCGACACTGGTCATACTTGCACAGATTTTCAGCACGGCCACATGGCAGCCGCGCGGTAGAGCATCTGCGACGCTGTCACGAGGTCGTTGCGAGGTAGATCCAGGGGGAGGGGGCTGCTACAAGGTGCACGTGAAGCAGCTGCAGGGACACAGGGGATGGCGCGTGCAGACGGGAGGTGGCCGCGGCGTCTCGGCCTGGGTTCTCTCTCTCCGAGCCCAGGGAACGGGCCCGTGCATCTGCCACGGCCCTGGGCTCGGGATTTCGAAGGCCCGATCAAGCGCCGAGCAATACCAGGGCCGAGCTCGGTTGGCCACAGGAGGTCGCTCCCAAAAAGGCAGCAAGAGCCGCCCGCGGCACCCAATAGCAAGCAGATATGATCGATAACGCGCACCACAGGAAAGCACCCTAGCAGTAAGCACTGAAACCCACACAAGCATGCCCGAGATGCCCAATGCACGTTCGTTCCAAGCCCATGGCTTCTTCCTTGCCGTCCCAAGGCTCCCTGTTGCTTACCCAAGATGTCGCGCAGCTTTCCCAGGGCTAACCACTGCACTCCGAGGGCACCACAGTCCCCCAAGGTTCTAGAGCGCACAGCGTTTCAAGATTTTCGCCAAGCGAGAGCGAAATTCGTAGAGCCTTTTCACTGCTCTCCCAGGGATTCCAATGGATTTGTGACTCAATCCAGAAAGAGGTGATGGAGGCCACTTGCGTTGCGTCTACATTTCTGATCCGTGAATGGGGCCTCATTGTTTTCCCAATGGTTCGCGAGGTCCAGGACTTCCCGGCGCTACCCCAATGCGTCTACAGTACCCGCTCGTTTTATCGATATGAGTTAGATTGAAGCAGTCTGAAGGGTCAAACTTGATCAGGCCGGAATTCAATGTGGTAGCAGATGCTTGGCATTGTGGCTGTATAATGTTACGATTTCGAGATAAATTCAATTTGCTTGGCACTCTAGCACTGGACCAGCTCCATCATTTCAAAATGCATTTCTAGATCATCGAGAGACATGAGCTCGTCCTAAATTGGCCAGCGGGATCCGCATACCCATTGGACAGTGGACCAGTCTGGGTTGCATCTGGGTCGTCTGGGAGACGGTCTCGAGCTCTAGGTGATGTACATACTTTTGTTTGTTTGGAGGCAGCCAATCAGCTCCAACATGCCGCATCTTCTTAGAGCATCGCATACCATGCACCAGTAGCTCAACAGCCCAATGGTTCGACACCAATTAACAGGTGAACTGTTTTGAGGTGTGCATTGGCTGGGTGGGCAACATAATCGCGAGATCTGGGCAAACCACAGAGATCAAAACAGCGAATAGGCTCCGCAATTGCGAATCATGTACACAAGTATCGAGAGCCCTGTTGACGCCTGGTGCTGCGTAGCGCGATTCGACTAAAGTGGGTCGCACATAGCTACATCTGGACCGATGGTGGGGGCGTAGGGCATTGGCATGGGTCTCAGGCCATTTCCCTCCCCCCAGACTGGCAAGGTGCCTGAATGCAGGGCATCGAGAAATATGGGATGCTACTGGTTCATATCGGACGGCAGAAATCATGACTGCTTGAAAGTGGGTCGTGAAGTATTGCATCTGGATCGGTTGGATAATTTGATTCAGAGTTGTGGGCACGTTACAGAGCTCCCAGGCAGCGAACCACCGTCAGACTTGCAAGGCGCATCTTTCTAGACCATCGAGAGTTTTGAGACCGCACACATCGAGCAGCTGACTCCTAAAGCCGATTCACAAGTGAGACACGCAGCTTTGAATCATTTGAAGAAGCAGCGAGTCTCTGCTCGTCTGCTGGCGGTGAACAAGGGGTCACGGCTTCCCGCTGGCGCCCAGTTATTAGGAACGCAGTGGGGCCTCGTGCCCAGATTGGGTATATGGCCCCATTGTGTTTCTCATGATTCTAGACCCTGGGAGTGCTGGGAGGGCTTTCGTGGGGAAGCCTTGAACGTTCAATCACAAGGCGTGGGCTTTCCACGTTGGAAGCACATGTAGGTTTCATTCCCCGATTGGGACTTTGGCCTCGTTGTTCCGTTGCATATCCACATTCTGGACGCCTCGGAGTCGCCCTTGCAGGTTGCTTGCAATGCCATATGTCGTTGCAGTTTCGATCTCAGATTGGTTGAAGCGCATTGGATCCACAACAGAAGTAATAGGAAGAGGGGCAGGAGGAGGAAGAGGTAAGGTTCTAGTTCCGCCCCTGACGCTGATTCTCAGAGGCATCCAGAGGCTTTCAGAGGACCTGGGAGGCCCCAAAAATGCCAAAACGTTCAGACACTCCCCCAGGAAGCACGCGGCCTTCCTCGATCGACGACGACGACGACGACCGCGGCGGGGCAGCGTATCGCCGCGGCCGCGTGCAGGTCCTCGTCGCCGCCGCGGGCTCGCGCTTCGACAAGCAGCTGCGGGAGGTGCGGGCGCAGATAAAGGAGCTGCGGGAGGAGCTGCGCGCGGACCCGCAGGCCGCCCCCCCAGCGGGCTGCGGCGAGCTTGCGCCGCCTCGGCTCGAAGGAGAAGCATCGGCACAGCCATACATCGGCGTCAGCCCAACGCACTTCTACTATATGTGCGTCGCCCCCCCCCCCCCCCACAAGGGGCGCTGCGCGCACCGAGAAGTCTTTATAGCATGTGCGTCGTGGCGGGCGCTTTGTGGCCACACCGCTCGGGAAAGGATCTACTACAAGATGGGTATACTATATGTTCGTGTCGGACGCGCGCCTCCAAGGAGGACGCGTAGTGTCAGTATGTCCGTGTGCGTCCCAATACATTTTCGGAGGTCCGCGCGAGTCTCTTCGATCTGCGCGGACCTTCGAGAGATTATCATGTTTCTCTTGTCTGCGCGAATTCCGTGCATCTACGCGGATTTCTTCGGTTTACGCGCGCCTTGCGGAGGCCCGCGCCGAGTTCTTTGATCTGCGCTGGACCTCCCTCTGGCGGCGCCTCTGGCGCCACTCCTGGCGCGTTCCGCGCGCCGTGGCGGGGTCCAACGCCAATCGGGAGCTCCGCGCGGACCTTCGAAAGATCCTGCTCGCGCAGAGGTTCTCTCCTTCTAGCTGCAGCCAGGTCACACAGCAAGGATGAGCAACTCTCCAGGGCTACCCTGGCATCCTTCCCCCTGCGGCCCATCCTCGGCGATGTCCCCCCGCCAGCCCCGCTCGCACGCGCCAACATGGCCCTCCGAGGCCCCCGCATCCCCACCGCGCACCCTTCCTGTGCGTCTTGACTGTGCGGCAGGCTCGCGCCGCCTCGGCGAGGCGACGTCGGCGCGGGCGTGCAGGCGTGAGCGTCCTCGGGGGTACCCGTCGCCGTCCTCGGGGGCCCACGGGGCACGGCCCACGGCCCGCGCAGCCCGTGTGGAAGATGAGGTCGGCGGCCTCTTGGGACCGAGGGCGGAGGCTGTTCGGTGTGGTGGAGGAGGAGGAGGAGGAGGAGGAGGAGGAGGAGGAGGAGGAGGAGGAGGAGGGGGAGGAGTGGGGAGGAGTGGGGAGGAGTGGGCTCGGCGGCGCACGCAGCGCCAGAGGCTCGTGCCCCTGTCGGGGCGGGAACTTGCAGGCAGCCGCTGCAAGAGGGAGCCGCGTGACTGCGCGAGCTGCTGCGACCGCTGCTTCGCCCGCCTCTTTCTCACGGCGTGGCGGCGGCAGCCCTGGAAGTGCCTCACCCCGCCTCCCTCCTCCGCCCGCCCCCTTATTCTAGCTCCTCCTCCCTCCTCGGCGCTCCCTTTTCAGTGCTTCGTGCTTTCTTTTTTTTCCGGGTTCTCACCATGTGGCAAGTGGCGTCGTGCCCACATCCGCCTGCGGCCGAAGCGTGCACGATTGCGGTTATTTCTGGATTCGTTTCGTCATGCTGCCTGGCTTGTGGCCATCGTCGGCGTACCGTCGTCTCTGGTGTCAGAGCCAGGGGCCTCTGACGAGAATGATGGAGTTGATGTCGCCACTATGGAGCTTTCGCTCATTCGCAATATCTGGAGCCTCGTCTTCAGTTGTTTCCTCCCTTTTCCGAAGGCCAAAACAGCAGGTTCCAAGAGCTTAGCTGGACATCTTCTGGCAATTTTTGGTGTGTACGAAGGAGTCCCAGAATACAGCCAGACACAGTGTATCTTGCATTCAAGAGGTACGCGTGGTGTTTTTCTCTACGGCGGAAGCAGGGATGTCGTTCGTGACAGCGTCGGCCTGCCCCGTGTGGTTGGTTGTGGCAGGTCCTGAAGAGGATGGCCAACCACACGCCGAAACGCTGAGGGCGCACTGGGCCAGGGGTGCCCGAATAGTTGGGCATACTCAGTCCGAGACCAAAGGAGGATCCCAAGACCAATAACATGCAGATTATATTGCACTTGTGTTGACATGTAGTTGCTTTAAGAATCCTTCCATTCAGAGTTGACATGATGTTGCACTCGTTGTGATATGACAGGCAAATAACGGGTGATCAGCCGAAGCTCTCCAGGAGCTCGTCTTCGGCGGCGCAGCCTTTTTCCCCATCATGCAGAGAGATTCCGGCATGCCTGCTGTGAAGTCGGCTCCGCCGTCCTGTGCTCCAGTCAGTGCTCTGGTCACGGGGGCGGGGGGTCAGACATTCAAGGGAACAGGGGGCACCTGCGGCCAGTCCGCCAGGTGCCGACGGTGTCACGAAAGAGAGGACAGTTGTTTCCTCCCTTTTCCGAAGCCAAAACAGCAGGTTCCAAGAGCTTAGCTGGACATCTTCTGGCAATTTTGGTGTGTACGAAGGAGTCCCAGAATACAGCCAGACACAGTGTATCTTGCATTTAAGAGGTACGCGTGGTGTTTTTGTCTACGGCGGAAGCAGGGATGTCGTTCGTGACAGCGTCGGCCTGCCCCGTGTGGTTGGTTGTGGCAGGTCCTGAAGAGGATGGCCAACCACACGCCGAAACGCTGAGGGCGAACTGGACCAGGGGTGCCCGAATAGTTGGGCATACTCAGTCCGAGACCAAAGGAGGATCCCAAGACCAATAGAATGCCGATTATATTGCATTTGTGTTGACATGTAGTTGATTTAAGAGTCCTTCCATTCAGAGTTGACATGATGTTGCACTTGTCGTGCTATGACAGGCAAATAACGTTTTCCCTCATCAGAAAGCATGGCGAACACGAGTATAGAATTCAAGCCCTGAGCACCGGCACCTTGAACCCTGAATCTTGATCTGGGGGTAAGTGTCCAATGCATGAAGTAAAGTGGTCGCGGTCGACAAGGGCCATGGGCCCTGAGACTTCCCCAAGAGCCAGTTTTTTATTCCGAGTGGTTTCCTGATGGCCCCGGGGCCTGGGAGGGGCCCCCAGAGCCCCAGAACGGCGAGCAGCCTCCCAGAATCCTCCCCTCCAGGCTCTGGGACCTTCTGCCCCTCGTGCTGACCTCTCTCGGCCCGCACGCGCTGCGTGCTCCTGGGGACCGGCGCGGCCACAGGCGGCGCCCGTGGCCAGCGGTCGCGGGGAGGCCCCGGGCGAGGCGGACGAGCTGACGACGCCGCGCGGCCTGCCGCTGGCGACGCCGCTGGGCGAGCGGTGGCCAGGCCCCGCCAGCAGGGGCCCAGGACCCCCCCCCCCGCGTCGTGGAAGGGTTCGGGTGTAGCCAGGGCCCCAGGTAAGGGGACCCCGTTAGTAGTAGGGCCCTGGAGCCCCTAAATCTGCTACTAGGATCACTAAACCAGGTCTGCCGCAGCTGGTGTTTTTTTCGGGTGACGGCAATTCCGGTTGGTGGAACGGGCGGGGGGGGCGTCCCCCGGTATACATCACTAAACCAGGTCCCACTAAACCCAGTTCTGCCGACGCCCGAAGGGCGGCGGCGGGGGGCCTTTGGCCGTGTTCGGCCTCTGGGGGCCCTCGCCGGGCCCCGGGGGCGTCAGCAGGAGCTCGTCAGGACGAGGCGCCGGCCGCGGATCACGGGTCGAGGCCTTGGCTGCCTTGATGCGCCCATCCTGAAGTGCAGCACGGCGGTGCCGTGTTCAGAGCGTCCGTGTTTACACGCCGCGTGTGGGCTGGGCACGTGTTGGCCCACGTTTTGGGCGAAGGTGCCCCGACCCCTCGGGTCAGAAATCGCGACGCGATGTTTTCGCAATTTCCTGCCTCTGGGGGCCCTTCCCGGGCCTCGGGGCCGTCAAAAAACAACTCTGGATGAAACACAGGTGCCAGGCAATGGGTCGAGACCTTTGGGGGCCGACGCCATGACAAAATCATGACGTCGGGGGTCTGGGTGTCGAGCCAGACCTGCGTGTTGAGTCTGCGTGTTGACCTCCGTGTCGGCACGCCACGGTTCGGGTGTTGTGTCCCAGGGCAGCGAAGGTGGAGACCTCGAGCAGAAGCACGACGTCGAGGTCTGCGGGCGTGTGGGGCGGCGGGCCTCCGTGGAGCTCGTCGAGACCTCTTTCCATCCGGCCCGTGTCTGAAGACCACGCCCGCGTGGTCCCATTGCTGTGTACGTGTAACAACCGACACATGTCCGAGTCTTCACGTTTTGTTGGCACAGTGTGTGTGTGTGTGTGCGTGTGCGTGTGCGTGTGCGTGTGCGTGTGCGTGCGTGCGTGCGTGTGCGTGCTTGCGTGCGTGCGTGCGTGCGTGCGCGCGCGTGTGCGAGTGCGTGTGCGTGTGCGTGTGCGTGTGCGTGTGCGTTTGCGTGTGCGTGTGCGTTTGCGTGTGCGGGTGCGGGTGCGGATGTGGATGTGGATGCGGATGTGGATGTGGATGTGGATGTGGATGTGTGTGCGTGTGTGCTTGCATGCGTGCGTGCGTGCGTGCGTGCGTGCGTGCGTGCGTGCGTGCGTGCGTGCGTGCGTGTGTGTGTGTGTGTGTGTGTGTGTGTGTGTGTTTGTGTTTGTGTGTGCGTGCGTGGGTGGGTGTGTGGGTGGGTGGGTGGGTGTGCGTGCGTGCGTGCGTGCGTGCGTGCGTGTGTCAGTGTGTGTGTGTGTGTGTGGATGTGTGTGTGTGTATTTGGACTTGTCTGTCGATGTCCGATCTCTCTCTCTCTCTCTCTCTCTCTTCTCTCTCGCTCTGCCAGTCGCTTTCCCCTGCCAGCGTTTCTATCTCGCTCCACCCCTGCACGCCTCCCTCTGCCTGCAGCCGCTCGTGTCCATCCAGGGGCCGTCCGTCGGCATCTGCCCGCGATGTGTACGGCGTCTGTCCGCAATTGTCCGCGCCCGCCCCCTCGTCAGTCTATCGCCCCTCTGCCTCCACACGTGCCTTGCTAACCTTGCCTCTCCGTGCAGCCTTCCGTCTGCCCATCTTTCCAGGGGCCCGTGTCTCCCAGCCTCTCTCTGCCACCCCTCGTGCGTGGTCATCCGATCGCCTGGTGCCCGCAACGCGCGCACGTGCAGCTGACAGCGGTTGCAGGCATCGCGCCCTCCCGAGCCTCCCGACATCGTGTTTCTGTCGGCGGCGAGCCTGGGGGGGAAATGAGAAGGGGCGGGCCTTCTCAGAAGGCTCGGAAGTCCCCTGGCCTTCTGAGATGTTCCATGAGCCTTCCCCGAAGACACAGAGCACTTCTCAAACGGCGCGAGGGCTTCTGAGAAGTCCCGCCGCCTTCTGAGAAGGCCTGCTCCTTCTCACTTCCCCCCCTCGCTCGCCGCCGATTCTGTCGCAACGCAGACCCCTTGAGGTCCAGACCTTTTCCCCGGCAGCGGTGCTTCTCCCCGAGTCTTTCGGTTGACGGTCCTGGGGCCCGTCGAGGGCCCCCGGGGGCCGAAAATTGTCAAACAAATTCCCGTCGTGATTGTTGTCCTCCCTGTCCGTGCTCCCCCGAGCGCCCCGCGCGTCGGCGGGCCCGCGATGAGTTTGTCGACAGCAGGCGCCCATCGACAGGAGCCGCTCCCTTCTCGTGGGCTCGTTGGGCTTTCCTGCCAGGAAGCTGGCTACACACGACGCGGCTGGCCCGGGCGAGAGCTGGATACACACGTTGTCACATGGCTCTCCAGCGCTCGGCCCTCGTGTAGCCAGGCGTGGTGGCCCTCCACATGTGCATGCAGCAAGTGGTTTCCCAGTGCTCCACACGTGAATCCAGCCACGGGCGTCTCCAGCCTCCCAGCATATGGAGGATGATGATTAAAGAAATGACCGGGGGTCGTGTTCACGCGGCGGCGCCCGGGATGATGATTAACAAAAACCTGCCCCGGGTTGGGAAACTATTTTTTCAAACGTCCCCCCTCCCCCCCGCCGTCCTCGGGCGCGCGCCCCCCCCCACGGTGGAAGTTTCCTTGAGCTTCGTCACAGGGTAGCTCTGCCTGTGTGGTCGTCACAGGCGGGCGCTTCTTTTGACCCTCGTCAAGGGGGAGCGATGCCTGCGTGGTCGTCACAGGCGTGCGCTTTCCTTGCGCTTCGTCACAGGGGAGCGCTGGCTGTGTGGTCGTCGCAGGCGGGCCCTGTCCTTGAGCCTCGACATAGGGGAGCCCTGCTTGTATGGTCGTCACAAAGGCGGGCCCTCTCATTCAGATTCCAGACAAGGGGACGCTGCCTGTGTGGTCGTCACAGAAGCGGGCCCTCCCCTTGTGCCTCGTCACAAGGGAACGCTGCCTGCATGGTCGTCACAGGCGGGTGCTTTCCTTGCGCCTCGTCACAGGGGAGCGCTGCCTGTGTGGTCGTCGCAGGCGGGCCCTGTCCTTGAGCCTCGACACGGGGAGCCCTGCTTGTGTGGTCGTCGCAGAGGCGGGCCTTCTGTGACGACCACACAGGCGAGCCCTGCTTCTGAGCGTTCCCCCCCCGACGTGGGAAACTTTTTTAATCGTTTCCCCCTTCTTCTTCTTTTTTATTTATCGTCATCCCACCTTACTCCTTCGACGACTGCCCAGAGCTTCCCTCGAGGCTCGTCATTGCTCTGGCGTGTCTGCGACTCGTTGCTCGCGCGCCCCGTGGCCCGTGTCCTGCCGCCCGCCGGGGTGCCCTCCCACGAGGCCGCAGCCTGAGCGACCTCGGGAGGCCGGAGTCCGAGGTCGGCTCCGACATCGGGTCGCAGGCGCCGAGCGGGCCTCGAAGAGGGCGGGCCTCGGGGTCCAGACCCCCTCGGGTCGGGAAGACGTCGTGGCAGAACGTGTGGCCTCACCTATCTTCGGCCTCTGGAGGCCCTGGCTGGGCCCAGCGGCCGTCAACAGAAAGCGACTCGGGACTGGAAGCCGGCCCCATGGAGCGGGTCGAGGCCTCCCAACCCATCGATTTTTCTCCCCAACCCATCGATTTTTTTTACAACACCCAACCCATCGATTTTTCTACAACCCCCAACCCATCGATTTTTTCTCCCCAAACCCATCGATTTTTCTACAAAAGCTGAAGCCGCTCAGAAAAAGGAGGGAAACCTTGAGATACACCCTAGAAGGGGGCGATGCGGACGCACCCAATCGAGGAGGAACGCCCACCCATCGTATATCCCAGGGTTGGGCCCCGAATTTCTGGTCCATTCGGAAACCCCGCGAAGCCTGGGATAGGGGTCGACATATCCTCTCTTATCCGGGGGGGCCGCTGTGAACAAAATCATGACGTCGGGGTCTGAGGAGAGAGCGGTCCTCGGGAGAGCGCAGCAAGGGCCGATGGCCAGGGGAGCCAGGGGAGGACGCCGAGGATCGGGCAGGAAAGGTGAGGAGGGGACGCAGAAGGAGCCGCTGGAGGACGAGGAGAAGGAGGGGGAGGAGGAGGAGTAGGAGGAGGAGGGAGGACAAGGAGAATCAGGAAGACAGATTTCGGGTTGGGAGGATGGAGCTGGGAGAAATGAGGATATCATCACCAACGCGAGAATGGTTCTCCTCAGAGATACAAAGGGTGCCGCTGGAGGAGGCGGGGGGGAACTCTCTCTGGCCGCAGCGCGGAGCACGCCCCTCCTTTGGAAAAACAAGACGGCATCAACATGAGTGTTTGGAATTCCGCGCGGACTTCTTGGATCGGCGCTGGACCCCCCCAGGCGGCGCCTCCAGCGCCACCCTTGGCGCGCTCCGCGCGCCACGGAAGGGGCGTCCTCCGTGCTCCGACCAGGGAGAGTTCTTCCATGCCTCCTCCAGCGGCTCCCTCGGCATTTGCCTCTTCTCCCGTGTGCGCTGGGCCCTCGGAGAACACAAGTACGCGTCGGAGCCGGCTCACGGCCACGGAGAGAGGCTCGGCCGTGGGCTTCCACCCCGCCAGAGAGGAGGGGCTGCCCTGGTCCATGGTCCGGCTGGCGGGTTGTCCTGGCCAGCAACCTTCTGGAGTGGCGGCTTTCCTGGGGCCCCGCTCTTCCTGGGCCTGGTGTCTGACCTATGTTTCCTAGTTTTCTTCTTCTTCTTCTTCTTCTTCTTCTTCTTCCACCTCCTCCTCCTCCTCCTCCTCCTCCCCCTCCTCCTCCTCCTCCTCCTCAGGTTTCCCCTGTTTTGTCCCGAGGTGTGCTCGCTCGCTGGGCGCTTTCTTGGCTCACTCGGTCGCTCCCTCCTTCTCCTCCTCCTCCTCCTCCTCCTCCTCCTCCTCCTTCTCCTCCTCCTCCTCCTCCTCCTCCTCCTCCTCCTCCTCCCCCTCCTCCCACGGCTCCTTCTGTCACCACCCACCAAACCACCCCAACCCAACCCGAAGGCCTCAGTTTGCCTTCTATTTCCACGGGGAGGTCGGGTAACATTGAAAAAGCACATGGAACCCGTACCCCCCCCCCAACCCGAAATTCAGGTCAAATTCGGGTCTCCCCCCCCCCCCGGAGCTCCACGGCCCACGGGCCTACGTATCTAGGACCCCCGGCCAGCATCCTCCGCACACCTTTCTCCGCCCAGCTCTCCCCCTCCCAGAGGCCTCTGGAGGCCCCTTCCTCTTTCCCCCGTCCGCGCGTCCGGTCCAGCCCCCCTCTGCTGAAGAGCGGCCCCCGTATTGCAAAGGCCCTGACGGCCATTCCCGTGGACCCTGAGAAGAGAGCAGCCTGGGCGCAACAGGCGGAAGGGCGACGGGGACCAGGGGCAGTGGCGGCAAGAAAGCGAGGGCGAACATCGAATGGCCTGTGGTCCATCCTGCCACTGCGCCCGGGTCACTAGCAGGTCGTAGGGGCACTGGTGGGGCTGTTTGGAGGCTTCCTTCGGGCTTTGTGGTCCACATGGATGCGTCTTCTCCTCCCCGCCCTCCGGTCGGCGTCGGCCGTCAGGCGCCTTCCTTTGCCCCCTCGTACACGGGCCTGTCGCCCGACGAGCTGCAGGAGCTGAAGAAGGTCCAGGCCCAGGGGCCGCAGCGGCAGGAGGTGAGGCGAAGAGGGGAGGCGACGGGAAGGACGAGGGCGAGGGCGAGGGCGAAGAGGGAGGGGGAGGTCAGAAGATGAAAATCCAGGCCCAGGAGCCTCAGCAGACCCCCCTCGAGTCATGACAAAACCACGTCGGGAGGGTTTCCGCTACGTTCGGCCTCGCCTCGGGACCGTCAAACAATGAAAAAACATGACGGCAGGTTTTTCTCAATTTTCGGCGTATGCGGGCCCTTACCGGGCCTCCCTCGGGACCGTCAAAAGACAACTCAGGAAGCGGGACTGGGAATTGGTCGAGACCTTTGGGGGTCGACGTTATGAACAAATAATGATGTTGAGGGTCTGGGACAGGAGGTGATGCGAGAAGGGGAGGCGAGGGGAAGGAGAAGGGTGAGGGCGAGGGCGAGGACGAGGGCGTAGAGGGAGGGGCAGACCATCAGAGGAACACATTCTGATACCGAGACCCTTCCATCGTTGCCAAATTCCGGTCAGAACGCACCCCTGGATTGGTCCGGGGAACAGTGGCATCGTTCTTCCGGCCTGTTCCCCAAGGACGGGCAGGGGGGGGGTGAGCGAGGTGTTCTGCGCTGCTGCTTCTCCCCCCTCCTAGGCTTTCGGAGGCACGGGGAGGGAGCGGCGCGGGGAGGGTGAGGTCGTGGAGGGACGGGGGAGGGGGGGCAGGGAGGAGATGCAAAAGTGGATCTCGAGGGGTGTAGGGGGGGGGCTCGAGGGGCAGGGCGGCCTCTGCCTGGCCCGACCGTCGGACAGGGTCGCCCGCGGGAGTGCTGCCGCCGGGGGGGGCCGGAGGGCCCCCCCCCCGGGTCTCGTGGACGCAGGGCGTGGGGGCAGGGCTGCCCCCGCAGGGAGGCCGCGGATGCGGTGAGTTCTTGTCGTGTCGACGCGGCTGCGACCCTGCCTCGGGCGTCCACGGTCGCACGCCGCCGCCGGCCCAGGGTCTGCCAATATGCAGCGATCTGGCGACCGATGAGCTGCCGGTCGTCCAAGGCGGAACGACCCACGCTCGAGCAGTGGCGAAGCGTCCCCGCTAGCCGATAGGTCCGCCAAGGAATGTTCTAAGAACCTCTTGTGGTTTGCGCGACTTGCTCTTGGAGCATTTCAGGCTGATCTTGTTTAGTTTTGATACGTCGGGCTTACGTGCTCAGCACATCGTTTTTGTCTTTAGAACATGTGTAAGACAACTTCGTGGTAGGCCTGTAGGAATGCTGCGGCGGCCGGTCCTTGCTCAACACGCGGTGTCAGAAGCCAACGCCGGGGTCGTCACGGCACGGACCTGCCGTGCGTGCTCCGCGTCGTGCGAGGACGCGTCGTGCGAGGCCGTGCGTGCGAGCTCCGACAGGCTCTGGCCGCGTGTGCCCCGGGCAGCAGCGAGCCCTCCTCGTGCGCCCTGCACGCGGGTCGACCCCGCGAGGGCGGCGCGCCGCGGCCGCGGCCGTGGCCTTCGGCAGGGGTTCGATCCCGCGGTTGCTGATATCAATCAGCCGCGCGCTTGTTCAGGGGGGCAGGGGGACTCCTTAAAAGCAGCCCTGCTTCTGAGAAGACGCGGGCCTTCTCTACAGATGTAGGGCCGGCGCCTTCAAATACGCAGCCCTGCTTCTGAGAAGGCCCCCCCCCCCCAAACCCCCTCTCTGCGCGCCGCCAAACCAAGGAAGGGCGCCACGAGACAAGGGTGGCCAAAGCCATAGGTCAGAGGAGGAAGCGGTACCCATACCGCTACCCTTCCCTTGTTTTTCCCCTTTTGGGGCGTCCTGGGTGGCCTCCCGTCGCCACCGCTGGCTTCGCCTCGAGATCCTGGTCCGAACGCACCCCAGGAGAGGTCCGGGGAGTCGCAGTCTCGGTACCTCTTGGGTTTCCCCAACAGTCGGCTACGCGAAAGAGTGACATTTCGCTGGAGTGGCCTCTGGCTGCGGGCCTACAGGGGTCCTCTCAGCGATAGCGTGCACGCTCGGATTTGGCGTCCCCGCGGCCCCCCGAAAGCCGCGCACCAGAGGTCATTCTTGCCTAGGGCCACTCTTTGCGTGCAGTCGAAAAACAGGGGGTGGCTGGGTGGGGGGCTGGAACGGGTTTTGAGGCGCTCGTGTGCTCGTGGTGGGCAGGCGTTTGGTTGGGCCCCCTGGTGCCCTGGGCCGAGGCCCCGCGCGCCCGCTGCGAGCCCCTGCCCACCACGTGCGGGGTCGTGGTAGTCATAGCGTCCGGTTGCGCGTTGCGCACGCGTGCGTTGCTGCGCAACTCGGCCGCGCCACGTCTACACATCATGTCGCACCTCGTGCGAGCTCCTCCTGATACGCCCGTTTCGAAACCCTGAGATCCTGGCGTCCCAATTTTTTGGAGCCTGGCATTTTCGCCCTCTCTCGGGCCCCGGGACCCTCGCAGATCGACTTGGCTCGAAAGACCGACGCAGAAAGATTGTGTCCAGGGCTCTGGGCGTGATTTTTCACGATGTTGCAATTTTGCTCGCTACATCGGACCTCAGAGAACGCAGCGCGTACCGTGTTCAGGACGTCTGTGTTCATTCGATGCGTGGTGGCTCGACACGTCCTGCGCCACGTTCCGGCGAACGCATCGCGCCAGACCTGCGTTTTCAGCCAACGTGTTGAGCCCCGTGTCAACACGCCACGGGATGCGTGGTTCGTATCGGGGCAGCTAAGCGAGGTCGTTGTGATTCGTGCGTGGGGCATGGGGGGCAGATGAGCGACAGAAGAAAGCGGGGTCGACTGCGCAGACATTCGCGCGTAAGTTTCCGCGCAAGGGCGCGCGTGAGGGTCCTCTTCCCCCACGCGGTGTGCCACGCTGTCGGCTTGCGTAATCCTCCGCGTAAGGCCGCTATGTCATCGTGCGTGGGACCTGTTGATTTTCGTCGCTCGGGTGGTGTCTCGAGTGATCGCCGTTGTGGAGACGGCGATGCTGCCCGCACGCTAGTCCGCCACGCCTGTCGCGCGAGAAGGGAAAGTATCACGGTTGCGATGATGACGCCAGTGACGATGCTAGCTGTGTGTGCTTCACCGAAGGGTGGCTGTACACACTTTCTTCGTCGCAGCTCGGCAGAGACAATCCGCGCAGGCGCTCCCAGCAGTCGGGGGCGCTGACTAATGAATTGGCCGGGTGCAAGGCGCGGGAAGACGGGCGGCCGCAGAGGACGGGAGGGATTAGGAGGACACTCACAGCTGAAAACGTTTCAGGATGAGCGAGCCGGAGCGGCCTGTCTGGGCTGAAGTGACCTGGCAGTGGACGCGGGACGGCATCACGACCACACTTGCAGGGACCGAAGCCAGGGCTGCAGGCGCTAAAAGCGTGAAAAGCTATGTGAACCAGTGCAGCAGGAGGAGGGCCCACGGGACTGCAGGAACTGGAGCATCCGGATGTCCGTCACGTTGCCTGGAACGTTAGGTTTTGTTGCAAAGGTGAAGTCGGGCGTGTCCCCCTACAGGAGGAATATTCAAAAACAGTCAAAGAGATAGTCTGGGGGCGATGTTTGGAATGCTTTTGAGTATTTTTGAGTAGGTTTGAAGTATTTTGGATTTTTGGTTCAACATGCACCTGGTAGGGGGACACGACCGACCTAACGCAAAGGGCTGGTGCCAGCTGGATGCAGGACGAGGATGGTCGAGGCGAGAGCGCAAGAAGCCTGCGAGGTGCTGCGCCGAAATGCGTGAGATGCAGCAGAGTGGCAGCACACGCGCACGCACAAACACACACACACACACACACACACGCACGCACGCACGCACGCACGCACGCACACATACACACATACGCACACACACGCACACACACACACACACACACACACACACACACACACACATACGCACACACACACACACACACATACGCACACTTACGCACACACGCGCTCCTGGAGTGGGCATGCCCTTTCTGTCCGAGGAGAACACAGCTGGAGCGCATCCGGCGCGCTGAGAGTCATGGTGGTCGTGCCCGAGTGCCCCTGGGGGCGGCAAGCACGATGCGATCGTGGGCCTTCGGGCGAGCCCGCCCATGGCGCCTCGAACCTCCTGACGGGCTCCCCCCCTGATTTCGGGCGTGGCCCGACATGGTTCCTCGTGGGGGCTGGACTGTCTGGGCTGACTGGGTCGGGCTGGTCGCACCCGTTGGGCGGCCGAGTGCGCAATCTGTGGCGCAACCAACACGAGGCCATTCATTCATCCGCGGTGTATTCTCAGCCGTTGATCGCGCAGACAATAGGACGCAGACGAATCGCCAGCGGCCGAGCGCGCAACTTTGGGCGCAACCATTAGCAGGCCGCATCATTTTCGGCGGCCAAGTGCTACCCAATGGCACAACCAACACTCGGCCGTTTCACTTTTCCGCGGTGTATTATCGGCCGCCGATCTCGCTGCCAAACAAGACAAGTCGTATCGTCCTTGGCCGAAAGCGCAACCTGTTACGAATCCAGTAAAGCCACTTGATCATCGGCGGCCGAGAGAGCAACCAACACCAGACCGTTTCAATATCCGTGGTCTGTTCTCGACCGCCGATCGCGCAGCCAATAGGCGGCAGTTGCATCGTCGGCGGCCGAGCGCGCAGTTTGCCTCGCAACCAGCAGCGGTGCCCGCGTTGGCGATCACGTGATCTTGCGCAGCACGACCCTGGGCGCAACCCACGGACCGCGCAGCCAGGGCGCGCCACCTGGGCGGCACGCGGCCCCCTGGCAGCTGCAGTGGAGCCACATGCGCCCGCCGTTGGGGTTGGCGGTCGGGCCAGAGCTGCGAGTTGCCTTGAGGAGGAGGAGGAGGAGGAGGAGGAGGAGGAGGAGGAGGAGGAGGAGGTGGAGGAGGAGGAGGAGATGGAGGAGGAGGAGGAGGAGGAGGAGGTGGAGGAGTAGGAGGAGGTCGTAATTTATGACCTGGGAGTGGTCCTGCCTGGCACGTGGGCGCTCGAGGGGGCCCTCCTTGCTATGGCTGCGGCCGCCAGGCTGTCGTTGGTGCCGCGGGCACCGCCTTCACGAAGGAGCTGAAGGAGCGGGCGGGCTCCCCGACCCTCCCGGCTCCCACGTCGGCGCCCCGCCGCCTCTCTCTTCCGACCCCGCCTCTCCGCTCTCCGCCCCCCTCTGGCTCCACGCAGTGCTGCGCCCTCGCTGTCGCTCGCGAGGAAGGGACACGCGGAGGGGAGCCCATGGCCGGGGGGTGCCCGCCGTGGTGCCTGGCCTGCCTGGGGCCCCGTCCGATCGTGCCCTGCATCCCGGCGCGACCGACCTCCGGCCCGACTTCGACTCCGTGCCGGCACGGCCCGCCCCGATGCGCACCCCGATCTGACCCGCTCTCCCGATCCCATGCCGATTGGCCCAGACCCCGGACGTCGTGACTTTGTCACAGCGTCGACCCCGTGGAGGTCTCGGCCCAGTTCCCTGAGCCGCTCTCGCACCCCGAGTCGTGCTCTGAAGCTCCCGAGGCCCGGGCAGGGCTCCCAGAGGCCGAAAATGGCGCAAGGCCTCCTGTGGTGATTTTTTTTCGTGGCGCGAGCCTGTCTGGATCTCCCGAGTTACCCGGTGCTGACCGATCCTGCCGCTGCCTCCCCGTGCACGGCCAGGACATCCGCAGGCAGATGGGCGAGCAGAAGGAGAGGCTCGGCCGCCTGGAATCGCTG